ATACATGCAGGCATTGTGGTGCATGCCTTTAATACCAGCACTTGGGAGGCAGAGGCAGGCAGATCTCTGAGTTCAAGGCCAGCCTGGTTGGTCTACATGAGTTCCATGTCAGCTGGGGCTACAGGGAGACCCTGTCTCAAAAAGACAAAAAAAAAAGTTTCCTCCCAATAGTGTGCCGGAGATTCGTGCAACCATTGGCAATTTAAAGGATTTGGGGGTGCTGGTTCCTGTTTCTCTGGCTGTATTACCAGTCTGACCCTGTAGATGAGGGAACAGAGGCAGACTGGAGACCACTTGGGGGCTTACCCAGTGGTCACCCTACTTGGTAGTTGTGGGATTGTTGGCAGCACAGATTAAGGCCTTAGGCTTGTGGGGTACAGTCATTTGGCAAATGTGTTCTTCCTTTCCAATTAGAAGATAGGCTTGGAAACATTTGAGATAGTCATTGATGGTCTTGTTGTGGGCTGTGTCATGTCAACTCTTCTGCCCCATGTTACGGTCCCAAGATCAGCACTACCTGGATACCCCACATCTGATTCATTGTAACATCACACTGACTCAGTGGAGTAAGCTAGAAGTGCCTCGTATAAGCCTGTTTCATAGGCACATGGAGTCCATGAAAATTCAAAGACATTCAAACCACTTTAGTGAAGGTTTTAAGGGACTCAGCAGTCACCAATAGATGGGGATATCCTCACAAGTCCAAGAACTGCCACAACAAAGAAAGCACTGCCAGGCAGCCTCCTTCAGGGTTGGAGGCAATGAGTTAATTCTGGGTACATGGGAGGCTGCCAGTCATAATGGGTCCTATGCCAGGAGAAAGCTCCATAGAAACTTCAGGTAGTGGGTGTAAGCAGTCCTGCCATTTGGGTCATAGGATATGGCAAACTAAGTGAGCTTATGGCAAATTTTGGAGCAAACAATGCCATACAGGCCTTGGGGCTCCTACAGCCAGGTCGCACCAGCTGCAGAGGCCTATGCACTGTTTGGGAAACAGCCTCTGGCAGCAAGAGAACATTGACCGTGGAATGCCAGTATGATGCTGCCAAGCAAGAGCTGGCTCCTTTCAGATACTCCAAGTCATAGAGAGAGACGGGTCTGTGGATGTCCATCCTAGGAGAAATATCACATTGAGGATTAAGCCTGAGCAGGGCTGGAAGGGCACTAGCAAGCCAAGTGAGAAGGTGGCCAGTTTGTCTCCTTGCCTGTATATATGGCCATATAGAGTCCTGTGTGACCCGTTCAAAGAAGGCAGAAAAGCCTAAGATTGGTGTATGGATGAACTGACCAAGTAATGACAGCCAGTGGCTTCCTGACTGTGGTATAAGAGGCAGGTGAAATGACTCAGTGTGTAAAGATGCCTGCCACTAAGCCTGATGACGAATTCCACAACCTACATGGTGGGTGAGACCTGACTCCTGAGGTGGTTCTCTGACCTGCTCACATACACTGTGTCATATGCATGCCCCTATCCCCTAAATAAAAATAAGTGTAAAACAAATTTGAATAAGGAAAGGGAAAATCCCATGTGGGAAGAACTGGGAGCAGTTTGTTTTGGGTAGATGGCTCAGTGGTTAAGAACACTGACAGCTCTTGCAGAGGACCTGGGTTCGAGTCCCAGCACCCACATCCATCCATAACCCCAGCTCCAGGGGATCCAACGCCCTCTTCTGCCTACTGCAGGCACTGCATGACACGGGTACATGTATACATACATGCAGACAATACACTCATACATATAAAATAAAAATTAAAACAGTGGTCCAAGGAGTGAGACTATGTACTTCTTCCAGGTCAGCTCCATTGTGCAATACAGTAGTTCCTCCTCTAGTTTATTGGTCTTTGAATACGAGCAATCTGGAATGCCCTGGTAGCAAGTGTCAAAAGAACCTTTAATGTAATGTCTCTTGGCCTATGCTGGGTGGAACCCATACCTTTGGACTGAGCATTCAACACACTCAGCAGGACTCTGGAACTTGGTCATGAGGTGGTTGGCCAACTCAGGACTCTGTGGTCAGGGAATGCAACCTATGTTCAGAATAGGCCAGTATCCCTTGAAGATGAACCAAAGGTCACATCTTGGTTCCTCCAATCTTCCTCCATTTCTTCTCTTTGGCATCTGCTTCTCAAGAGGATGGAGACCAGCATATCTGCTATTAGAAGGGTGGTCCTTGAACAAAGAGCTGAAGTGTCACTTGGTAGATGATTAGAAATATAGAAGGTCAAACTCCACCCCAGGCCTATGCAATGGGGCTCTTCATTTTTATTTGCTTTTGTGCTGGAGGTGGGAAGGGGTCCTGGTGCATATTAAGGATATGTTTTGAAACCAAGCTATACCACTGGCTCCCAGAATCTTCATTTGAACTATATATATTTTTGGACAGGGTCTCCCTGTAGCCCCAGCTGTCGTGGAACTCACTATGTAGACCAGGCTGGCCTTGAACTCACAGAGATCCTCCTGCCTCTGGGATTAAAGGCGTGCGCCACCATGCCCTGCTCAATATATATATATATTATTAGGTCCTTTACACTTCAGTTTGGAAGGAGAGTCCTTGCCAAGGTAAATTTTACACTTGGAATCAAAGTGACAGATCATGTGGATATTTGCTTTTTTTTTAAGTGCTGGAGACAGAACCTCAGGCCTCACGCACCCTGTCACTGAACCACACCCCTGCCTTGTGCATCCTTCACATTCTAGGTCAAAGCCCAACAGAATTAAGGGAGTGGTTCAAGGTCACATGGTGAATTAAAAGTGAGCAACCCAAGTGTCTTTACCTCTAGCTCTGCCGTGCAGGCTACTTTCTCTACACTGTCTAGTGTAGGAGCAGTGGAAACGGCACTTTGTGGAAATATGTGGATCTGTACATATGGCTGTAGAAACATAAGTATTTTGTTTTTGTCCTGGGCTCTTGTGGCACATAGTTGCTAAAACTCTTGTAATTTCCAGAGTGACAAGAGGGTCTTTTCAACCACATCTGAGTTCATGCTAACAGGCAACTCAGCGTAGCTTCCAGGTGAGCATGGACCCTAGAAAGGCCAAATACGCAAAGAGGGTGGGAACTCCCAGTACGGCCTCTGATCTCAAGGTTAGGGAGATTAGGAGCGCTCAGGGTGGACGGAAGGTGTTGAACTACTGCCTCTAAATCTATGTAACTGTTCCATTTAACTGCGTCCATGATATAGTCTTGATAATAAACTGGCAAATGTGTCTCCTTCAGTGCTATGACTTATTCTAGAAAATTCTTGAAGTTAAGGAGAGGGTTTAGAAGCTTCCAAATTTATAGTTGGTTGGTCAGAAGCCCTGAGTCTGCTATTGTGTCTGGTGTGTGAAGTATGGTGGTCTCGGGGTTCAGTGGACTGAACCCTGCACTTGTGCCATCTGTGCTAATTCTAGGGAGTTGGTGTCAGAAGTGAACTTTATTGCTGGATAGCCACTTGGTGTAGAACTAGGTGGAAAAATGACATATATCCAGTTTATCAGAAGTGATGCACGAAAAGAAACAGTGCTAGTCCAAGTCAAAATGTGCTGTGTGTGTAAAATACACAGTGGGTTTTGAGGACTTAGTATTAACAAAATCTGAAATATTTTTTGTGTTATTTATTGAAATAGTTTTTGTATGTGTGCTTGTGTGCGTATCTTTTTGAGACAGGGTCTCCCTATAGCCCCAACTGGCCTGGAACCTGTCATGCAGATCAGACTAATCTCACAGAGCTCCACCTGCCTCTGTCTCCCAAGTGCTGGGACTAAAAGGGCGCGCCACCACACCTGGCCCTGAAAGCGTAGTTTGGAAATACTGGATTACATAGAGTACCCTGTTGGAAAATCAGCAGATGTGGCAGCACAACCTGCAGTTCCACTGAGGGCACTGCCTGGTTATCAGCCTGGGCTTGTTGAGAGTTTTTCCCTCTATGATGGGGTTAACTCGATAATTTTAAAATAAAGACACAATAGTGCTGGGCATGGTGGCACACACCTTTAATCCCAGCACTCGGAAGGTAGAGGCAGATGGATCTCTGTGAGTTCAAGGCCAGCCTGGTCTACATAGTGAGTTCCAGGACAGCTGGGGCTACAGGGACACGCTGTCTCAAAAAGGCCAAAAAAAAAAGGCACAATAAAAATAACTAAAAATGTCAATTTCCACTGAGGAAACCAACCATTATCACTAGCTCTGGAGTAGGATTTGGGAGGATAGAGGACGGGGCCACAAGGGGACCTATGCTAGCAAGCTGCCTTAGGTCTGCATCTTTCCAGAGACCAGATGTAGAAAGCTCACAGGAGCTACAAGTAGGGTGGGCCGACAGGTCCTGGTCTGGCTGCCTCCCTTAGTTCCAATCAGAAGGCCATCTAGATACTGAGTGTGAGCACAACACCGACCCTCTGAACAATGACATCATGGCAGGTCCTAGGCTGGCTACTAAGGAAGCCTGAGGCTCCTTGCCTGGGGTGTAGGTACATGTGGAGAGAGGAAACCTGGCAGCTCAAGGAGGGACTGGCACTGCCTTGCCTGTGACGCTTGGGAGCCCTCTGACCTGGCTGAGGGCTGAGCTGAGGACCCATATTCATACTGACTACTTGAGGTAAATGCCAAGGACTTAGAGGGTTTAGAACTGAAGTCACTTCTTATTCCTCAAAGCAGGAAAGTCTGTGACCCAACAAGACTTGAATTGCCTATGCCTGAATTTGTTGTAAAATCACCACATATCATCATAGATGGTAAGACTGTGACCCACAAGAAGTGGGAACTTAACAACCTAGCACAGCTCACTAGGGCAGCAGAGAAGATGGCTTCAGTCTTCTTCCTAAGCACTGCAGAAGTGTGTCCAGAACCCAGAGCTTGTGGCAGCAGCCCAGCATCTCTGTCACTTCCTGAACAGAGATCTGCAGAACTGAGAACCAAATGGGTTTGGTTTAGAGACTGAACATCAGTTACTCTAAGTTCAGGAGAGGGGAGAGTTAACATTACTTCACAGGAGGTGAGGGATGCTTTTTCTTAAGAAAAATTTAATCCAAGGCTGTTAGTGAGCGTCGGGCACATAATGCCTTCATGAAAGTTAAAGAATCCAGTTACAAAAGAAGCACTGTGTAGTCTTCAAACAGCGCCAGGTACAACGGGCTCTGTATTTTACAAAGTACAAAAAATTATTTCATATACAAAGAAAAATACAAATAATGTGCAAAAACCATTTTCACAGGTGGCAAATTTATAAAATGAATATGATAAAAAAATCCTTCATTCTTCCCCAATTTCTTATGTATTAACACAGTTCTATTTTCTAGTGTGTAGGTAATTTAAAATTTGAAAATCTGATTTATTTTTAATCTACAAAGTTTTTTTATTATTTAAAAAGGGGGCACTCTTTTATTACTGAAATCTTATGAATGAATTTAGTTAATTTTATATTAAATTATAAGCAAACTATCTGAAAAACCAGGATATAGAAATCATATATACATATTTTTGAGACATTAGTTTTGTATTTAACATATATTAACATTTCAAAACAAATGCAACAGTCTAACCACCTGGGCCCAGGTTGGCAGCAATAGCTGGGGTAGAAAGCTGTTCTTGTTCACTGTATGCAAACAACATCCTTGGGTTTTAGGCTAAGCAAACAAGGTTACTGTACCTGGGAGAATCTAGAATAGTTTGTTCTTCTCCTGTGCAGAAGTGTTTTCAGGTTATCTGGCTGTGCCACAGTGCAACCCAGGTGTGTGGTGGCAAGCAGCTGTCTTGGTCTTTCCAATTTCTTCACTTGATTAGGAGTTCAGTGCAAGTGCTTTGTGGTTAGTGCATTCGACTTTTCGCATGTTACATTGGATAAGAAGCTGTCAGGGAGCAGAACACAGGAACACAGGCTCTCTGTCCTCAGAGGGTCTCTGGTCTGGAGACTGGCATTTGAAAGCAATGCTTTCTTGCACTGGCCCAGGCATTGTTGCATCATTGTTGCTTTTTTTCACAAGAATCCTGTTCATGCCCCTTTTGCCTGCCACTGATCTATGATGTCTTGCTGATTGTGAATCTCACTGGCAAGACAAGGACCATAGAAGCACCTTTTGGCAGGACCAGAGAACCAAGCATCTTAATGGTCAGGCAGTAACAGTAGGCGTGTCTGATGGGAAACCTATGTAGGATTTGGAAGGTTTGAATTTTTGCTTGTTCAAAGCTAAGGAAATTATGGCCTTGGAGAACCAAAAGGACCTTCATAAGGAAGGACTCAGGTGGTCATTTTGCCTAGGGGATGATGACAGGAGGTTCAGTAGCCTTCTTCTGATCCCTAACCACTAAGACCCTGTTAGAACAATTCAGTGCAAGATACAGGGAGGGTCTGGGTGAACCCAGACCTGTGTGAAACACTCATTCAGGTTAGGTACATACAGCAACTGCTGCACGAGCAGCAGGGTAAGCCTAGGCAGAACCCCAGGCCCTAGGATGACACATTTTCTCAAGGATTCATGCCATTTTTCTGTATGGCAGCACAAGTTTCTCTACCTCTTCTGTTTGGGTTGACCATGATCATCAGGCATCAGAGATACAGTTCTGGATCCTGTCCATCCATTGCTGGGCACTCTGTCCATCCTGGGCACAGAAGTTATACACACGCTTGCTGGTCTTGAGCTACAAAACCAAATGACAGAGAAGTAGAGATGAAGGGCAGGGCTGTTTGATGGCTTTGGATAAGTGGCAAACTAATTCTCATGACTTTCCTTTCCACACTGCCCCAGAACCTCTATCTCCTCTCCCTCCACTACCATACTGTCACTGCCCTTAGTCACTTTGGAATGGGAAAAGTCCAGGAGCATGACCAAAAGGAGGGAAAGGATCAAGACTGGCTGGCACCTCTGGGCCAAAGCAGGAAAGGTGAGGAAGCTCTCAGGGGACCTGGAATGTGACCTCTGTACTTGACTCTAGTCACCAAAAAAAGGGCCCATAAAATGCCCCAAGGCCCACCTCAAGAGAGCAGATGATGTTAGAGGGGACAATTGTGTCTGTCAGGGTCAGTCTTCTGTGTGAGTATGTGTGTGGGGGAGGCGGGTTATCAGGAAGAACATTGGATGAAATCAAGGAAATAACATTTGTTCTTAAAGACAGGCAGAGAGAATTGACAGCATTCTTCAAGGAACTGAGCTGCCTCCCTAAGTGTCTAGTGCGATGCCTAGACAATTCAGAGGTCAGGCTTGGGGATCAGAGTGCCAGTTTCAAGTTCTGTAGGGCTTCCCACAGCCAGAATCTGTACCCATCTTTAGTTACCACCAACTCCTCTGAAGGTCCTGTAATTTTTGGAGGTAGATGCAAAGATGCATAGGCAGAGCCAGGAAAGATGAACTTACATCAAAGAAAGCCTTGTCACTTGTATGCTTTGGGGCTCCCATGCTGGGGCCAGCAGGGATAACCATTTCTACTTCAGCCAGATCGATGTGGCCTTTACAACTTGTGTCCTCACCTGAGTCATAGTATCGAAGCTAGGACCAAAAAGAGATAGATTAGATATATGAGACACAAAGAGGGAAAATGACATGGTTTTCCAAGCTATACTTGATTATTTTCTTTTGTCTCTTGACTGTACATGCTGAACTATACCTGGAAGAGTATTTAAAACATTAAGAGGCCTCTTGGAGGGTAAGGTGGCTGGAAGAAAGTGGGGAAAAAAGGCAAGATTTTTTGAAATGTAGGGAAATGACTCATTAACTAAAGTACTTGTTCTGCAAGCGCTAGGACCTGAGTTCTGGTCCCCAGCACTCACTGTAAAAAGCCAGGTGTAGTAGTGCATGCCTGTAATTCCAGAGGGGTATGTGTATGTATAGACAGGCATGTCCTGAGGGTTCACAAGCCAGCAAATCTAGACGAAATGGCAAGCTCCAGGTTCAGTGAGAGACTCTGTCTCAAAAATATAAGATGGAGAAAAATAGAGGAAGACATCCGACATTCACCTCTAGCATCTACATGCAACATATCCTTCCCCCAAATTAGCTGTTAAAAACATGTAATGTAATAAAAAGAGGTTAATGCTCAGCATCCATACAGAATTTCTGGAAATTGATAAGATGAACAACCTAGTTGAAAAATGGTTAAAGGATTTCAACAGGCAAGTCATAGAAGAGATAGCAATGATCTAAAACATTCTGATTTATTTTCTTTCAGACAGGTCTCACTATGTAGCCCTGGCTGGCCTGGAACTCACTATGTAGACCAAGAGATCTTCTTGCCTCTGTCTCTTAAGTGTTGGGGATTAAAGGTGTGCACTCATGCCTGGCAACACTTGAAGTCTCTTCAGCTTTGTCCATCAAAGGAAGGTAAATGAAATTAATGAGATTTCACTTTTCACTTAAGACTGAGAAGTACTGAAAGTGGTTGGCTATATCCAAGAAGGTATCAACGACTCTCAGACGCTGTTACTAAGAACACGATTTGTTAGAAATCTTTTTAAGAGGACAATTTAGCAACATCAGCTAAAATGAAAGCTACACTGTAGAATAGGAAGTGAAGCAGCTTCCTCCAGCAGTGCACTTGACGTCCCAGCACTACAGGAGAGGTGCTTATCTTTCCGTGAACACTGGTGACAGCTGATCAAGGGGCTGGAACACTATACAGCTTTTCCAAGAGAACTGGTAGGAAAATTATCTTAAAAACCAAGTTGCCAAAGAACAGGTATATAGATATAAAATGATCTTTGAAGAGCATTATAAACAGCTAAACATTGGACTGTATGGGGAACCTTTAGGTATTTATGAGATGTTTACATTGAAAAAGATACAGTATTTTAAAAGCGAAAGAACTTGCTGGTGAAAGGCCATATTGGCTCAGTCTGGATTCCAGTGTACATGGGAGGAATGTGCCTGGATTTCCATCTCTGTGGTTCTGGCCTCAGACTTTTCTCTCTCCTCAGGCATAGTATGAGCATAACTAAATGTTAAAAGAAATCCAGAAGATTTGTAAGAATGCATGTATAATTTGATGCAATTTTAAGTTATAGCAAAATCCCATGTTATATTTGGTGGCTTCATGGGACTTTTCTACACAGTCAAGGTTCTATGACTTCAGACACATTGCTATTTTAAAGTCTAGCTCTAAAAAGGACTTCCATTTATCTGCATATTTAAAAATACACTCTCAATATTCTTCCATAAGAGTCTGTAAGGTTTTTAAAAATATTTTATTATTTTTATTTTATGTGTATGAGTGTATTGCCTGCATGTATGTGAGTGCACCTGTATAGTGCAATTCTGCGGAGGTCAGAAGAAGGCTTCAGATTCCCCTGGAACTGGAGTTAAGGACGGTTTGTAGCTGCCATGTGGGTGCTGGGAATCAAACCAGGGTCCTCTACAAGAGCAGTCAGTACTCTTAACTGCTGAGCCATCTCTCCAGCCCCAGGAGTCTGTAAGTTTTAAAAAAGCCCTTCAAGCAGAGGAAAAGGTGACCCCAGATACAGTCTTCATCTGGAAGGGTTCCTCTAGATGCGGTCCCGCCAGAGCACTGTAAGGGCAATAATGGAGGTCTTTCCTGATGGCCCCTGCATTCTGACCACAAGCAAATCAACCTGAGATAGAGGCTTCACAACTCTTGCTCACCAAGGGTGCTCTGAGGTTTGGATATTAGTCTCTTGAGATCACGGAGCAAAGAGTTATGAGGTGACTGCTGATCTGTAGCTACTAGGGTAATAGCAAAGCATGCCAGAGGGTTACTAACAAGGTTCAATCTAGCCTGTGAGTCCCAGGCCTGGGTGGGCACATGCCCTCTCAACGTTCCCATCTGTGAAGGACAGCAGTCTCTCCTTTAGTAACTGCAACAGAGGTGGGGTAGAAGAAATGTTATTTTTTTGGTTTTGTTTTTGAGACAGGAACTTGGAACTCAATCTCAGAGATCCACGTGCCTCTGCCTCTTGAGTGCTGGGATTAAAGGCATGGACCACCACACCTGGTTGCAATAAATGTATAATTCAGTCATAAATGGATATTCTCTGTTGCAAGCCTGAAGGGCAGTGGTACTCTGGGGGATGGAGGAGGGATACAAGTTCACATGTGCACATGGTGAGTGCAGCAGGTTCAAGTCTCAGGTGCCTCCAGACCTAGATGTTAAGAGGAGACAGTAGAAGACACTTAAGCATTTAAAAAAATTAAAAAAAAAATTTTTATTTATTATTTTTATTTTACGTGTATGAGTGTAATGCCTGCATGTATGTGAGTGCACCTGTGTTGTGCAGTGCCACGGAGGTCAGAAGAGGGCTTCAGATTCCCCTGGAACTGGAGTTAAGGATGGTTCATAGCCACCATGTGGGTGCTGGGAATTGAACCTGGGTCCTCTGCAAGAGCAGTCAGTGCTCTTAACTGCTGAGCCATCTCTCCAGCCCTGACACTTAAGCATTTTTAAAAAGGGCTCTAATGCTCTGAGCTTGCTGGACTCAACTGTTCTGACTTAGCTGTATGTACTAGGTAGAACTTTAGAACTTCTCTTCAAAGATTACTGCCAGGACTCAAAACTCTCTTCAAAGACTACTGCTGTTCTGACTTAGCTGCATGTACTAGGCTACTTTAGAACTTCTCTTCAAAGAGTACTGCCAGGGCTCAGGGACATTTTGGGTATTGGAAGAACCTCCACCTGTACAGGCAAAGCCCTGGCAGAGCAATTTGTATGTAGAACATATTTGTCTGCTGAGAGCCACGTAATAGCCAGGGACTGAGATAAGCCTAGACAGGTGGCACTTCTTTAGGCCTTACCTGATGTTTTGTTACATCTAAAACGAACCAACGGGGTTTCCAACCTTTCAGCAACGCTCCTCTTTTGTAGAGTGTTCCCTCAAAGGATCTAGAAGAAATGATGAAAAAAGTTTGACTTTTCACTAAAAAGAAATGCTATAAAGGGTCTATCTCTTGTTAAGTTTCTATCTCCCCTAGATAAGGGCTAGTCAGAGTTCTCTATGGAGTTCTGCCCCTAGACCTTTGGAAAGAGACTGCCTCTTTCTTCTGAGATTTTCAGTAGCCATGTTTTCTACCATTCTAGGAATGAAGTAACCCAGAGGGAAAAAGAGCATAAAACAGGCAGAAGCCTGAAGATGCTGAGAGAAAAACTAGCATGCCCTTGGCAGCTCTAGTTGATATAAATTTCTTTTCATTTCAGTCAGTATGAGTGGGATTTCTGATGTACCACTGAAAAAGTGTTGACTAACACACATTCCCTCAAAAGTTCTGTCAGATATAATGACCTTCAGAAATTGCCAGTGGATAATTACAACATCTCAGTATTAGTTTTAGCTGTAATACTGAACTTTTTCCTCTTCTCAAAGAACCACCTAAACAAAGCATTAAAGGAAAAACTGCAAAGACTTAAAGCAAATACATTTCAGGTTCACACAGGGCCATGCTCAAGTCAGCACTGCAGGGTTCAGCACATCACCTGTTCTCATCGCTCCTGGATGTATACTGGCTGTAGAGTGTGGCTGCCCTGTGCTCTACCCCATTGGATGGGGTGACGGTGGCATTCTGATCTTCACCAGTGCTGTCTGGAGGGTGTAGCACAGACCTCTTCTGATAGGAAGGCACGTTGGTAGACACAATTCCTGGGGACCCCAGTGGGTATCTTTGGGACTGAAAAAGACGAACAGAAGTTAGGACAGTTTCATAAAGACTGACCCGATAATTTCATTTATCTCAGGGTTTTAAAAACTGGGCTAGTCATCCTTGTGTGTACAAAGCCATTTATCCTGGGGTTGTTTATAATGAAAACTAGAAACAACCTAAATATCCCTTATTGGGTGACTGGTAAGAAACTGTTATTTCTGTATGATGGTGTTCTAGACTCTAAAATGAAGCAAATGAACACCATTTATGTCTACATTAAGTGAGACGAAAGCAGGTTTAAAAATAGTCTGTAGGAGGCCAGGCATGGTGGTGGGCACCTTTAATTCCAAGACTTAAGAGGCACGCAGATCTCCCCAAATTCCAGGCCAGAAAGGGGTACATAGTGAGACCCAGTATCCCCCCGCTCCCACACAGTCTATACAAGCTGGTCATGATGGCACATGCCTTTAATTTCAGTACTTGGAGGCAGAGGCAGGAGGATCTCTGAGAGTCTGAGGCCAGTCTGGTCAACACAGTGGGTTCCAGGCCAGCCTAGGATGAGACTGTCTCAAAACAAAAACAGTATGTGCAGTAAATTTTTTAAATTTCTAGTTTATAAATTATAGGTAATTTTCATCTTGTATTTTATAACATTTGTGTATTTTTATTTATTTATTTTTTGTTTGGTTTTGAGACAGGGTCTCCCTGTAGTCCTAGCTGGTCTGGAACTCACTATGTAGACTAGGCTGGCCTTGAATTCACAGTGATTCACCTGCCTCTGCTGGGCAGAAAGGTACACCACCACACCTGGCTTGTGTATTGTTGTTTTTTAAAATGAATACATTTACTTTAATAAAAGTAAATAATAAAAAAATAGAAAGTTTTTCTGAAGGAAAAAGTGTAAAAATACTGTCTACCTTGGCATGAGTGACAAGAGCTTCTCAACCGCCATGAGAGGCAAGAGACTGCACCTGGGGGGTCTCCCTTATCAAGAGTTTTCTTCTCCGCCCACTCTTCTCACTCTCCTTCCTGAAAAGCTCCTCAGAACATTTCATGTGTTTTCCCTTCCTGCTGATGTATCTGGGAGCAAGTTGATTAGGGTTTTAGTGGTAGCCCTACCAGTCACTAGCTCTAAGATTTTGCTGCCATTCTCACACAGGAGGTGCAAACTCATTCCCTCACTGTGGACTGAAAAGGGCACAGACCCTGCGCATAATGTGTGCTTGATAAATGTTTCTTAAATCATATATAGGAAACAGGGTATGAGAAATAGAAAACAGAGTATCTGGTTTAAAAATATTTCTGCTGTTTCTTATGTCGTAAACAGAAAAGGAAGTATGAGAAACAGAAAGCGTGTTTTACTGTCTTAAATATTTTTGTTCTTTGCTTCTTTCTGTGGAGCAAATGAGGACTTGGCATTCCCCTCCCCCCTCATGGTACAAGATGAGTTGAAACCGCAGAGACACTGAGATAGAAAAGAACCCAGTAATTTCCTCTGGCTTCAGAATCCTGAAACATACGTATTATGTCACTGTGGTGAGTGAGACACTCAGGAAGTACTTGGTCATTTGGAACTTTCTGCCCTGGACCCCTAGGGCATGACCCCTCTTTCTACCCAGCTCTCTGGCCACAAACCCAGCTAGGGTTATGGGCTGTGGAATTAGGCTCCATCTGATACAGCACCCTCAAAAGCTCAGAGATAGGTCCTCAGGGGGCTTTGCCAACTCACATGGTTTGTTCTTGGCTCTTCCTTGAGGTCCATGGTTACCTTTTCCCATAGCTGATGCCATTTCTCAGGGGTTTGGTTCAATTTATGCTCCAATTTTTCAATTTCCTGCAAAGAAATGAAAAGGACTGTTCTGAGAGATCAGTATTTCATCGAAGGTCAGGATGTGCCCAGAGGCACATATTTCCTCTGTACTGGGCCCAACTGAGCAGGATGGCCAGAGAACAGTTGGATTTGATGTTTTATTAGAATTCATTATCTGCAGGCTTTTTTTTGGTTAGAGACTGGCTTAAATAGTTGGAAAAAAAAAAGCATGCAGTGTGTATCCCAAATACCTTCACCCTTGGGTATCCTGTGGGAAATCTGATGACTGAAGCAAAAGGCCAACCCCTGGGCCCATGTCCCAACCCTAATGATTGAAGTAGTTGAGAAGTCTGTCCTTGACAGAGGAGCCCCTCACTCTGGTGACTCAAACCAAATATGCAAAGAATGAACTAAGAGATGCCCATGGACACGGATTTCCCTCTGACAGGAATCTGGGACACAGCCATCACTGCAGCAAATTCTTCCTGGCTTGAAAAGCAAAGGGGACTCTTCAGGAACTGCCTGACCCACATCAGAGCATAAAGCCATTCCTCAGGGTGGCTACTGCCAGGATGGCTTTGCTTCACTCCAGAATATTCCTTGTAGAAGGTGGTTGGCAACTAACTTATCAAGCCATCATGTACTCATACTTCTGACCAGAGGAAGTAAAGCACCCATGAAAGTCATGGCTAAGGCCTGACTCAGGCTGGTTAGGCAGCTGGAAGGAGAAAATGTCTGGTTTTGCTCAGTTGCTTCCTTGTACTACTAAAAATCACATGTTTATTGGCACTTTCACCAATAGTTAAGCCTGGTGCCCAAGTGATGCAGAGGAACAAGTCTGGTTCCTTCAGATTCAAGGAGTGCTAAGTATGTAACAGCCTGAGTAAGGAGAGCCATTATAGAAGTATGGAAGTTAGTCTTGGCTGAGGCTGGTTCTTGAGGGCTCTTGTCTTCCCAGGGCCCACAGTGCCTGGAGATGTGTGTCTACAGATGGCTGACTTACGCTGAAAAGGCTGGTGAGAGCATCAGGCTGAGTACAGCTGACATCGTCATAGCAGGGCCACACTGTTCTCCTCTGGCTCTGGGGCCTGGCTCCTCCACCCACATCAGGCTCCTCAGAGGGGAAATGTTTGGGGGTCAGCATCATCCAGTCATATGAAGGTCCTGTAGACAGAGTCTCCTCTATGTAATAATCCCACTTCTTGAGGTTGGAGACATTTACATTGGGCTTCAGTGCCTGTTTAAAGAAAACTCTAAAATGTAATTTCATCTTGCTGCCACAGTATTTGGTGCTTACTGCCAGGCTGGTTCTTTACATTTGCACAGTCCAGGGCAAGTATATGACTTCATCTAAATATTTAAAACTTATATACCAAGATAAAGTATTAAAAAAACATGTTTAGATTTCTTCTTTAATGAATATAATCTAATGAGTTGGAAGTTCAGGTTCAAATAAAGGATTCTTGGGTTCAGAATTTTATACTAGGAGGTAGTGGCACTGGGGGAGCTGGTTCCAGCTCTCAGTCCTTGGCTTAACCTTTTCTTTCTCCCACCCTGGCCTTACAAAAACATCTGTATATACCCCAGGCCATGAAGCCTAACTCTGTTAACTCCCTGCCAAATAGCTACTTGGTTCCTTTAGACCTTGGGATTCATGTTCTGGCATGGGAGGCAGATTTGGGCAATTAGCTTGTCTCCCTATAGCCCCAGCTGGCCTGAAACTGGCTATGCAGACCAGGCTGGCTTGGAACTCACAGAGATCCACCTGCCTCTGCCTCCCAAGTGCTGGGATTAAAGGTGTGCGCCACCATGCCCGCTGACTTCAAGTTTCTTTAAGTCACTGTTCTAGGTAAAGCTGCCTTGCTTTGACTTTATTCACATTATCCCTTCTAAGTTTTAGGGACTAGTTTCTAATTTTTGTTGCAAGTATTTAATGAACCGTTTTCATTTCCATCACAACCCAAACCTATTCTGTCTCAAACTTTTAAATAGTTTTGGTATGAAACCTTGTCAAATATTTACAACAAAACAAAACATACCTTAAGTAGTTAAATATACTAAAATGAAGGAAAACTTTAACACAAAATATTTAGAAAATGAGACACAAATGATTTCTTACTCTACCTCTGTTTCCACTGGTGAATATAAATAATTGAAGAAGACCGGACTCCTCTTGTGCATTCTATCAATACACTCCCAGATACAAATTCCTTTCTTGGCATGCTTGTCTCCTTTATCATCAAATAAAGTTCCTGTAAATTAAAAAAAAAAATCCAGAAAAATGGAAGTAAGTAAACCAACATCATGTCAAAGTATGAAGCACATAGAGGATGAAAATGAAATATTTCTTATGGCTCAGAAAGCAGCAATACATGTGCAGGCACCTTAAATGATGCTGCAAACTAGACAGAAAAAAACTTCCCCAGCTCTGTGGACACAGAGGGAGTGGAAGGCACACACAGGACAGGCTCTTACTCTGCTCTGCTTCTGAACCCACAGCACAGAGGCTGTACTAGAAGACAGGCTACATGTTTTGAGACAAAATGGACTTGATTGATGAAACTTGGTTAAAAAATACCATTTGAGGCTTCTTTTAAAAACTCATTATGAAGCAATTTAAAGCACTGTCTTGGTTAACAGTTGATCTACACTACAAATGGTGATCAGAAACTCTGGATGCCAGGCTGGGCATGGTGGTGCACGCCTTTAGTTCCAGCACTCGGGAGGCAGAGGCAGGCAGATCTCTGTGATTTCAAGGGGCCAGCCTGGTCTACATAGTGAGTTCAGGTCAGCTGGGACTACAGGGACACCCTGTCTCAAAAAGACAGAAAAAAAAAAAAAAACTCTGGCTGTCAGAAGAGTATATTCGGTCTCCTCAGGTGACTTAAAACAAATGAGGAATTTGGATGGATGATTCTGACATCACCTTTCTGTTTTTGGTCTTTTTGAGACAGGGTCTCCCTGTAGCCCCAGC